CCCCAAAACCCCAAAACCCCAAAACCCCAAAACCCCAAAACCCCTCCATGGTGGCCAAGATTGAGTTATGAAAACTTCAAATAATTAAACTACAAATTTCATTCCTGTTGAATCATGGCTTTTCTTCACAGTTCCTGAACCAGCCTTAGATGACTTCACACTTGTCTTCTTCTTAGCAGATTTAGAAGAGCCTGCAACTGAAGAAGCTGACGGCTTAGACTTATGTGTCTTTTCTTCCTCAGGCTTAGGAGCAGCTACTGGTTTAGGATTATTTTTTTCAATTGTAGGCTTTTTAATGTCAGCCTTTGGCTTCTCAATTTCTTCCTCGATTTCGTTTGGTTCAGAATTCTGCTTTTTACTTCCTACCTCTGACTTTTTGGTCTCCTTCATAGGTTCTTTGATTTCCTCTGAGATCTTGTGAGCGTTATCTGCTTTCTTAGAAGCTTTCTTACTAGGAGAATTTTTGACAGCATAAGGACTCCCCACAGGCTTATTTCCAGTCTTCTTCGTTGAAGCATTTGGTGGAGACTTCATAATTTTTGGAGGCCCTGGCTTCTTATGACTAATGCTAATATTCTTGCTATTTCTCTTAATATCTCCATTTGGCTCAAGAGCACCAGTAGATTGGGTTTTAACAGATGTAAAATGATTATTCTTGTGATTATTAGTAGACCTCATTGACCCTGGCTGGCTCAATCTTCTTTGTTTCACACCATCTGACGTAGAAATAGTCCCAGCAAATGTCGACCTTGTCACTCTCATTTTGAGGTCTTCTTTGATCTCTTTCTTTGAAGGAAGTTCTACTCCTAATTTACTCAAAGTTTTGTAGTTTAGCCTCCCAGTCTTTTTCATTTTCTCAAATTCTTCAACAATCCTTTGTTTCTCTATAGCCCATTTGTTGGAATTCTTTTCTCTCTGTAGTGCTTGAATACTTTGAGCCTTCTGTTCGATCCTCTTAAGGGTCATCTGCCTCTCCTTCTCTTGTTGTTTCAATATCTTTTCGACATTGCGCTTCTTCTCCAACTGTTTGTTATAATTCTCTCTTCTTTTCTGATCGAGAGATCTTTCACGATCTTTCTTCACAAGCTCTAGATGGTGATCTTTCTGGTTCATCTGAGTAATGATACGTCTCTTTCTCTTCTTCTCAATGACCATCATTTGGGTCTGGACATTATGAAGGTGTTGGTCTCTTTCTTGTTCCTTTTGTTTATTTCATTTGGAGCTCCTTTTCCATCTCTTTGGCGAGTTCCCTTCTTCTCTGCTCAGCCTTAGCTTCTTTCTGGAAGAAAGCTTCCTTTTTCTGCTTCTCCTGTTCTTTATCTCGCTCAATGACTTCTTGAATGATTTTTTGTTTTTCAAGCCCCTTCTTATGTAACTCATCTTGAAGTATAAGTCTTTGGAGTTCGAATTTCTTGCGTTGTTCTTCAGCTCTTCTCTCTTTTATCTCAAATATCTTTCTTTGTTCCTGAAGTTGTTTCTCTGCTTTCCTTCTAGTCTTCATAATCTTGACCTCAGTTTCCTTTTGCTTCTGGAGTGAGCGCATCTTCATCTCCTTCTGTTGTTCCTCTCTATGCTTCTGATTTTCGATATCTCTTAGCTCAAGCTCTTCCTTCTTCTTATCCAACTTGAGCTGGTACTGCTTGAATGCTTCCTCAGTCTGCTTGATGAATTCTTCATGCTTCTTCTTTTGCTCTTCTTCCTTGCGACGGATATGTTTTTGTCTCTCGAGTTCTAGAGAGGTCAGGATTTTTGTACTGGTAAGGCTTACCTTGTTTTCTCTGGTATTCTTCCTTCTCCTTCTCTTTTTGTTCAATTTCTTTGTGCCTCTTCTTCATCTCGATTTGCTCGAGCCTTTGTCTTTCCATTTGCCTTTCTTCTTCCTTTATCTTCTTCTCTTCGGCAAGTTTTGCTTTGAGGAATCTTTCCCTTTGGATTTGTTTTTCACGTTCTTCCTGGAGTCTAGCTTTGCGCTCATTTTCTTCCCGGATGAGTTCCATTCTGGCCTCGTTTTCAAGCATTACTCTGAGTTCTTTAGCTTGCCTTTGCTTTACCCGTTCAATTTCCTGCTTCTTATTTTTCCATCATTGTAGATCCAAAATTCACTTGGCTTTGGTCAGTTGACTTGCCAGCTGATGCTGAAGATTTATGAGCTTGAGCTGAAGGTGGTGGGTCAGCATGGGAGGAATGAGCCTCTTGTGGTTCTGCGTTAGACGTTGACATTATTTTATTTTTGATTAAAATAATAATCAAGCATAAAAATGCCAACAGGGGTTTTGGGGTTTTGGGGTTTTGGGG